CCCAGTTGTATCCTCGATTGCTTTATACCTTTTCTGATGTTGTCGTATTTGTGCTCAAGAACCCCAGGTAAGAGACCCAGCCTTCTAGTTGCTCTTGATCAATTCTCTAATAATAATAGGGCATTTGAGTCAACAATGTTGGAAAAGCTCCTGCAGTGGGGATCATCATCGATCGACAAGTCTCTAAACCAACCTGCACTCCCACATGCCATTCTTGTTCTCAATGCGACAGAGATGACCAACGATAATGAATGGAACATAGATACTGCTACTAATCTGTTCCTAGAGGACATCAAGGACGCCATCTTCCGCGAGCCCCGTTTTAGCGAACAAATACGCATGTGGAAGGACACTGGTCGGGATATTCGATCTACCCGTGACCTTCTGGAATGCTACTATGCTTCAATCACCGTAGTCAGGATCCCATCCCGCGGAAGGTATATGTTGATGGATGAACAGGCAGGGAAGCTTTTTGAGTCCATCAATAGGAAGTGCCAAGAATCCCTCTGTTCAAAGAAGAGCGCCCGCATGTTGGCGACAGCAGAGGAACTCCAAAGACACTTACAAGCCGCCTACGATCACTTCTCAAAAGACCTGACTACACCGTTTGATTTTATAAAAGAGGCCTTGAGGCACAATCCAATCCCACTGGACTTCGGCGGAAATATTCTGAACCTTGCTGTTGCGATCAAACAAAATTGCAGCTTCCTTCAAGAAGACACCGAAAAGATATTTGACAAGATGGTTCCCATGGTATCTTCCTGTATCATGCTTGATGCAGTTCGCCAAAATTTGATGGGTAAGTAAAATGTAATGAAAATTGAAAATCCTTACGGAAGTTAACAGACAACAAGGGTCCACGATACAGCTTCTTGATGACGCTTACGTTGAATTTTGCCGCCTTGCTCTTGAGGAATTCGCAGACTTCTATAGTCGATGTACTTTCACAAATTACAAGTATGGGCGATGTTGTAACGTCAAAGTAGGACACAACCCCAAAGGTCATCAGAGCGAGAATGGCAAAATCATTGGCCAGGGAGACTATCGCTCTAATTTCGATCACCATGAATATGCGCCAAAGTGGATTGATAAAATCAAAGCAAAACTTGAGGAATTGCATCATAACTTTGTTGGACGAAAATACGAATTGCTGGAGTACCCCGAGCTCAACATTGCAGCTGAAGTTCATGAGAAGTCAATCAGCGAATTTTACCGCACCGTAGGCAATGCGGGAAGGTTCAAAAGCCACACCGCATGCTTTTCATGCCTCCGAGAACTTCCTGAGCATCCTTTGCCTTGTGGCCACGTTTTATGCCTCCCTTGCGTTAAGACATATGGGGTGAGCGTATCCAAAACGATGATAGAAATCCAGCATTGTCCATTGCATCCGCGGGAGACATACTGGGAGCCCCCAAAGACTGTCTTGGTCAAACCAGCTTTTGCCGGCACAAGAATACTTTGTCTTGATGGGTAAGTATCATGCCATTCACTCCGAAAGTATCTAACATTAGTTCTAGAGGAGGAATGCGTGGAATTGTTGAGTTACGAACTTTGCAAGCCATAGAAAAGATACTGGGGCCAAAATTGCCCATCCAAAACTTTTTCGATCTGATCGCAGGCACAAGGTATGTTTGAAACTGGGAACTTGCTAAACACATGCTAAATGTTCTTAGTACTGGGGGTATTATTGCTTTAGGTTTAGGCGTGAACAATTGGACAGTTGACGAGTGCATTCGTAACTTCAAAGAACTTTGTGGTCAAGCTTTCAGGCGTCGAGGGAGGATGGCGATACCAGGATTCGAGAAATTGGCCTTACTCAGTCATCACAGCAGGTTCAAAACCACACCTTTTGAGGAACTTCTCCAGAAGACCTTTACAGAGAAGCCGCTGTTCGGAGGCGCAAACGGCCTAAGTGAAATGGTCACCAAGGTTGCTGTTACGACAACTAGCGAAATCGAACAGCATGCAGTAGTACTAGCAAACTACAACCGACAGGGACCAACTGACTATGGTAAGAGATAATTATAGCCCAGAACGACGATGACTTTCGCTAAGTTATGCAGGCCTACCTTACAGATTTGATAGATATACTGAACCAGAGAAGGAGTTCAGAGTTTGGGAGGCGTAAGTATCTGGATGATCGAATCGTAAATGTTGCTAATAAGATGTCAACAGAGCTCGTGCCACATCTGCTGCCCCAACCCTCTTCAAGGTTTTCCAGAAACGTGAGACTATGAACACCTACCTTGACGGCGCTCTTTATCACAATAACCCCGTTTGGGTTGCACATCATGAGAGGAAACTCATCTGGCCAGATGTCTGCAATTCTCCTCCAGATATTCTCCTTTCGATAGGCACAGGAAAGAATACGTTAGAAGACGAAGAACTTCCCCGGCAATCTTCGATGTCGCCAGTATCACCAACATCGCCGACGTCATCGTCGTCTAGGTCTTGGTCCTCACGGACTAAACCGAAGCGTCGTAGACGGGATGTGCTACCACACGCGCTATTGAAAATAGCCATAGATCGATTGGATAACTTACTAGAATGTAATAAAATCTGGGACAGCTACGTCGCGGATACCTCAACTTCGGACTACAGCAAGATATCTAGCATAAATAGAAAGCGATCGATCCGTCTCAACCCAGATCTGCGCTTCGAAGTTCCGCGATTAGATGCCGTTGAAGAGCTGGAGCGCGTCGAGATAGCCGCAATGCAAGACCTCAAAGCAAACAAGGAGTATGTTGTGGAGGTCGCTCATAGGCTCATTGCGAGTACGTTCTTCTTCGAGAAAGATTCGAATTCGGTGAGAGCTACAGACAACGGTTATGAATGCACTGGTGAGTATCTGTCTTCTCAACTTGGACTGATCTTACTAGCTATGGAAACTAAGAATTGTAGGACGTATCTACTGCAGATTCATGAACTCTTCGGTTGAAATGAAGGGTTTGGGAGACTTCTTGTGGAACTGTCTTCAAGAGCATTTCGAGCCGTTCTTCGTAGTAGAGGAAGAAGATTCTGGACATCCCGATGACCAAGTCAAACACCCGATCGATGAGCATATGATCGAAGACATGTGTGTTCGTGGCAGGTTCGATATGCCTAATATGAAAATACACATCTCCAAAGAACTCGCTTTTACAACCATCTCGCTGTCGCTACAATCTAGAGACTATCCTCACTCGGCGAACTCATACCTTCCTATCAGTGGCTTCCCACGGCAGCTTGTGATAGAGGACAAGAAGGAAAACGGTAGGTCTAATCTTTCATAAGACCTTTGTTTAAGCGAGTAGCGACTAATAACTACAATAAAGTTCCAAAACCTCGTCCCAGATCATTCCAGCCTCGCCACAATGGCAACGAACCGAGCTCGGCTCATTATCGGTTCCTACGGCATTTGATTTCACAACCAGACTTAAAGGAGTTACCATCTGAAAATGGTATCCCAATCGCTGAGATGGATGGAGTAGCATTGTCGTCATCGCCAGAAGCCCCATCCACACCGAACAGTATCCGCAGGCGGCAGGTACAGGAACGCCGTGTATCATCGGGAGAGTCTTCATATGAATCAGCAGAGTAATTTAGGTTTCAAGAGTAAGGTTTTGGATGTTGTTAAGTTGGAAAAGTGGTATTAATATGGGATCTTCTGTCATCGTTTCGTCTTGTACGTAACGGAAGATTGACAACTACCAAAATACCCCATTTGAACACCAATACAATCACCAGCTCATTCGTTATACTTCAAGCTTGAATACCAAACTCCTCATTAATTCCCAAGATCACCGTTCAATTAGATGTGGCTTGCAAGCCAGCGAAGACCGTGTCCATACCCCTGCCTCTGAACCACAGAGCACATAAACAACTTGATAGGCCGATACATGATATGATTTATCCCAAGCTGCTGGGAAAGCTCAACCTCAGAAATGGCATCTGGGTGATCGATCTTATTCCCTAAAATCAAAAACGGCACATCCTGGAGCTCCTCCGTAGCAAGAAGCGCCCGTAACTCTTCCCTCGACTCATCAAGGCGCTCGGTATCCTTAGCGTCGACCAGAAACACGATACCCCCCACCTCAGGGAAGTAATCCCGCCAAAGACGTCTGGCCTGCTGGTGCCCGCCGAGATCGAAGGTGGTGCAGCGGAGGTTCCCGATCAGCAGTTCCGTTGACGTGGGGTGGATCGTCGGCTGCAGGATGCCGAGGTGGTCTTTCATGAGCCGGAGGAGTAAGGTTGATTTTCCCGCGTTATCGAGGCCGAGGAATAGGATCTTGGCTCGTTTTCTGAGAAGCCCGATGTATATCAGGGCCTCGTAGATCTTGTCGGTGATCCACATGGTGACAGTTTGAAATAGGTTGTTCGCTTTGAGAAAGAGCGGATTGGGATAGTGTAGGATGTTTCGGTGTTTGGAAACAAAGAGGATGATATGAGACCTGGAGAGATTCATGGTGAATAGGTAGTTATAGACTCTAGATGACTCTAGAGGTGTTTTCGGAGATGGGTTGAGAGATAGGCTGGAAGAGGCGTCTTGGTTAGAACGTTGGAGTCACCGCGAAACTATAAGTTCTGACTAGAATTATTTTCAATTTACTTAGTCAAGCCATGGAAGCCGTCATGCTTGATAAACAATGTCTATGGTGGCACTGCCAACTATTGAACGCCTAGCTGTTTCACGCATACGTATCCAGGCACTTCTACAATACTAGGGTAAAGCTTTGGAAAACAATTTCTGATTCACGTCGTATCTGAGTTGTCTATTGCTCAAATGATTTAGAGTTTCTTTCAAAACTAGGATTTCTCTTACACAGCTAGTCATCTAAACGTCGTTACGCAGTTCAAGAACCGCCGACCGTTTTTGTTTTCTATCAACGAATATTACGTCAGCAGACCTCGCAACTAAGATAGATGAATGAACTAGGGAGTGTTTTGAATTAAACTAACGATCCAAAATAAAATATATATCGTGACACGGTTAATTCATTTTTCGAAAAAAAGAAAGAGATTGATCGATGTGGGACTTGAACCCACGAGGACTACTGAATTACCTAATTGACTTAGGAGTAGTACAATAACCACCCGGCCATTCGACCCTTGGAGAGGTGCTACCAATTGTTAGGTGCTTGTGTGGAACTCAGTTCTAATTATCTCTCTTTAACCTGCGCAAATTCCCTGTCTTTAGTTCAAGTGCATACTTAGTAGGTATTCAAATGAGCGGTGGCCGGTTGCTGGCTGTATCAGTCCTGTGGAAGCTCCAGCTATGATAATAGTGATTAATTCACTAAATTCTGGCGAGCAGCCGCTATCGCGTAGGCTGCTTAGCCCTTGGAATAAAGCGCCGCATAGTGCGGGGGCTATTCCACCAGCGCATCCATGATCCAAAATTTGGACCTAGACTTCTCAAATTTCTAAGGTTAGGTACCTACATTTAGTAAGTCTTAATGAGAGGACGCTTGCGCTTGCAGACGAGGAAATCAATCATCAAACACCTAAGAGAGTAAGCAATATGACAGTTTATAACAGAATGAAAAGACGTTGGTGGAAAAAAGTGAAAAGAAAGGCCAACAACGAAATGTTACGTAGCAAAACATCCGAGCCGGTCCATCGAGCCTATACCCGCCACCGGCTGCCCGAAACGCGTCAGGGGTCCCGGCTCCGGAAGCTAGTCCTCCCTACCGAATCGGGACGAACCAAGGCCAGGGCGCACATTCTATTCGCGGGAAAAATCGATCAGGAGATCTCTGCATCCCCACTCATTTCCCATCCACCTTCCGCTGTTCAGCGAAAGAGGAATCCAGCGCGAGACATTGGACTGTGGGTCGTCCATACGATATACGCTAAAGCGTTCGTGGTGGTGCCATGAATGCGACCTATCACCAGATCTAGATTTGATGAAAGGGGTAGAGGGGATCAATCTGCCGCTGGAGCGGATGAAAACCCGGAAAAGCTCGCGTGATGTGACATCGGTGCTCGTTTGCACGTAGGTACAGATTACTCGCAAATGAATATAAATCAACGGCCTTGCATACCCGCGTGAAAAGCAATATGTGAAAGATAACTTCATATGCGGAGCCGCCTCTCAGTCCCAAGGATAAGGGTCACCAATACCTACCCAGGTGCTTAAGATAACCACTAGTCTTGGCGCGAAGATGAGGTTTCTCGCGTGGGCTCAACTGCTCGCTACGGCCGCCGAAGCCGCTTTCACGTGGCAGAATGTCAAGATCGGAGGTGGTGGCGGTTTCGTTCCCGGAATCGTCTTCCACCCCACGGCTAAAGGGGTGGCATACGCTCGGACGGACATCGGTGGTCTATACCGGTTGAACTCGGACGATTCCTGGACGGCGGTGACCGACGGCATCACCGACAATGACAATTGGCATAATTGGGGAGTCGACGCTCTTGCCCTTGACCCACAAGATGAAAATGTCGTGTATGCTACCGTAGGCATGTACACAAATGATTGGTACTTTACAACGTGACGTTACTTTTAATCAGCTACTGATATGGAACTAGGGATCCTAACCCCGGCTCTATTATCCGCAGCAGCGATAAGGGCGCTACGTGGAAGACCACGGCCCTCTCCTTTAAAGTTGGGGGGAATATGCCAGGGAGAGGAATGGGCGAACGTCTTGCCGTCGACCCGGCTAACTCCAAGATCTTGTACTTCGGTGCTCGAAGCGGTAATGGGCTGTGGAAGAGCACGGATGCCGGAGCCACATTCACCAAGGTATCCTCATTTACGGCAGTCGGGACCTTCATCCCGGATCCCAACGATGTCGGGGGATATAATGGTGATAAACAAGGACTAGCATTCGTGACCTTCGATTCTACAAGCGGCACAACGGATGGTGCGACTAAGAGGATCTTCGTAGGTACGGCTGACAATACGACTGCGAGCGTTTACGTATCCGAAGACGCGGGAGCGACTTGGAATCCGGTCGAGGGTCAGCCGGGCAAATACTTTCCGCACAAGTGTGTCCTGCAACCGGAAGAAAAGGCCTTGTACCTTACGTACAGCGATGGTACTGGGCCGTACGACGGGACTTTAGGTGCTATTTACCGATATGATCTCGCGGCAAGCACCTGGAAGGACATCACACCGGTATCCGGCAGTGATCTTTACTTCGGTTTCGGAGGACTCGGTGTGGACATGAAAAAGCCCGGGACAATCGTCGTAGCTAGCTTGAATTCGTGGTGGCCAGATGCACAGATTTTTCGATCGACCGACTCCGGCGCTACCTGGTCTAATATTTGGGCGTGGTCTAGTTACCCCGACATGAATCTGTACTACGGACAATCGGTAAGTGGCTGGCCAGCTGTTATAAGAACACCATGTTAACGTTAGTACATAGGCTTCGAAAGCGCCGTGGATAAAGACGGGCTTCCTCGACACTGATACGAAAGATCTTGGATGGATGATTGAGGCGTTGGTGATTAACCCTCTCGACAGTGACCACTGGCTCTACTCGACTGGCTTGACTGTATTTGGCGGCCACGACTTGACGAAATGGGATTCTTCTCATAACGTATCGATTCAGTCGCTTGCAGATGGCATCGAGGAGTTTGCAGTGCAGGATCTTGCCTCCCCTCCCGGAGGAAGCGAGTTACTAGCCGCAGTTGGTGACGACAGTGGGTTCACCTTCAAGGACGCAGCTAGTTTGAAGGTCTCTCCTAATACTCCCTGGATGAACCCCATTTGGACGACATCTTCAAGCGTCGACTATGCTGGAACATCTGTGAAAAATATTATTCGCATTGGTAACTCAGCTGGATCACAGCAGGCCGCTGTCTCCAGTGATGGCGGGGTAACCTGGAGTAATTATTCAGGGGCGGACACTACCCTGAGCGGCGGTACAGTAGCCTACTCCGCTGAAGGAGATACAGTACTCTGGTCGACAGCCAGTAACGGCGTGCAGCTTTCCAAAAACCAGGGAACCTTTTCAGCAGCGTCTAGCCTTCCCTCAAGCGCAGTGATTGCCTCGGACAAGCAGAACAATACGGTTTTCTATGGCGGTTCGGCGGCTACTTTTTATGTTAGTACCGACTCAGGGGCTTCATTTTCGAAAGCCGGCGCCCTTGGCAGTGCCACTGCTGTCCGCGATATCGCGGCCCATCCAACCAAAGCGGGTGAAGTCTGGGTATCAACAGACGTAGGTGTATTTCATTCAACGGACTACGGCTCTTCCTTCACTCAGCCGTCTACTACCTTGAAGAGCACGTACCAAATCGCGCTTGGAAAGGGGTCGGGAACGACATGGAATGTGTACGCGTTTGGCACGGGATCTGCCGGAGCTAAACTGTACGGCAGCGCTGATGATGGCGCAACTTGGACCGACATCCAGGGTAGTCAAGGATTTGGGTCTATCGACAGTTGTAAGCTTGCTGGTAGTGGAAATACTGCCGGTCAAGTGTATGTTGGGACTAATGGACGCGGTGTCTTTTATGCCTCCGGCACGATTGGAAAGAGGTCGACGGTCTTCAGTGCATAGTCCGCTGTATGTTTATTCTTTCGAGTTGCTTAGGTACCTAGTTAGCGCTGAGAAAAAACGTTTCATCCTCTGAACGAGATGTGCGTCCAATCGGCTAGTGACCTGGTTGGTTATGCTTTTTCATGCGCCAAGGTCCATCTTGTAGGGTGGTAGGGTCTCATCTCTCCGCCACTTATACAGTAAAGTCCAAGTGTGAATAAGCCACAAAAGATTTGTCGTTCTACTATAGGCTGAGGAGGATATTCGTACCCGTGCATCGTCGATCTATTCGTCAGAAGACTGAAGAAGTACAGTGACTTGGGACTAGAATGATTGTGTACTTTTATGAATAACTCAAGTAAAGAAAGGAAAAATCCAATCAGCTCGACAATCTCATATCCTAGCTTTCCCCACAGTTATGACGACGCCGTTTCCTTGGCTCTTTCCTGGGTTGACTTGCTCTAGTTTCAGATGCAGCTGACAAGATCCGGTACTTTGTTGAGTACGTACTGCACCGCCATCTTTCGAGGTGACAGGGTGACAGCTGCCTTGTCGGTGAGGGATACTTAAAGATAAGGTAGAACTCAAAGCCCAATTTCTGGTCTTTTCCAGTATTCCACTTGTTAACACCGGAAATTCTCCAACAAGAGAGAGAGAAAAAAAAAGCGAAATTTGAGACATCAACCTCTCTAATTCGTATGTGCCCTCGCTTCTAGTCTGGTACAATCGACTTAACTAACAGACGCAGTATTACGACCAATCAATCGAAAATGGGTGGCTGTTCGTCTCGCTGTGGACTCGTCAACAGAAATGGCCCTGGCAGTGCCGCGTCCTCAACTATCGAGAGCATCATAAAGCCTGATAAATCGACCGGAAAGACCAAGTGTATCGACTGCGGTGACTTCGAATGCTGTTGCATCCCCTGTACCGTTATGTGAGAAACAGATGGATAATTAGGATGGTGGCATACGAATAAACGAATTAATGAAGCGGATCTGTATTTACGAAGGACGTTTCGTTATGGTCTAACAATGTATTCCGATTAGTGCCTAGGGACATTTAGGTAGCCCAATAAGAAATATGGTATATGGGGGTAATGGAAATACATCCCAAATACCCAATCGAGACCATTAAAATCAAAGGGTATCGACACCGAACATCACAACTCCGTCTGGAAAATACCCACGTGCATTCATGTAATCCTTCCATAACATAGTAACGCCGTATTGCCAGCTACCGCGAGAAACAATGAACGGCTCTCTCTCCTAAGAATCTCCAAGAGCCGTTGCCCAAGTCTCGCGTTCGTAAGCCCATACATCCTTCTTAGGTGGGGTCGCCAATGTGCTGACGAGTTCTTCTTGAATCTTGAGGCTGCCTAGACCTTCCATAACTCTATCAGCTTTATCTTTGGCATCTCGGATCGCGTCTGTCTCGGCGCGCGTGCGATCTAGCTGTGCTTGCATCATCGAAATTAGCGACTCTCGGGCTTGATGGGGTCGGTATTCGTTGATGAGGTGGTGAAAGTTGATGAATAAATCCCGGATATCGTTGGTCTTTTCTTCGGCCTGTATCACAGATGTTAGAGATATGTATGACATAAGAGTTCCTATATCGTATGGAAAAAC